CAAGATAACATAAAAGAAAAAGGTATGTACATGTCATACCTAAAACACAGCTGTATATGAGCAGCCTCAGCCTCTTATTAGGTGATGTATGACTCCCCACTCCCCATAAAACAAAGAGAAAATAAACAATATATATTAATATAGAGAATGTTTCAAATACAAACTATCATATTTGTACAATCAATTAAGATATTCATAGATGAGAGTTTATTTATTATAAGTTGAATATTTATGAAAAATAACTAGAGTTCATTAATTATGATCAATATTTTATATTTAAAAACAATCTAAACTTTTATGAAAGCCCATATTCATCAAATTAAATGGACTTTTAAGATTGAGTTATATTGGTTGTACAAATGTAAAGTGTTGCATGATAACTCACCCCCTCTCTCTCTCTCTCTATATATATATATATATATATAGAGGTGAGTTATTATACAACCCTTTACATTTGTACAACCAATACAACCTAATCTCAACCGTCCATTTAATTTGATGAGTATGAGATTTTATAGAAGTTTTGATTGTTTCCTAATATAAAGTATTGATCATAATTAATGAACCCTATTCATCTTGCATAAATATTCAAATCATAATAAATAAACTCTCATCATTTCTATAAATATCTCAAATAATTGGGTTGCATTGGTTGTACAAATGGACATGGTTGCATTTGAAATATACCCTATATATGTGTGTGTGTGTGTGTGTGGATCTAATCAAATGAGAATTGTTTTATTTGTGGTAATCGTGAGATCCAATCTCAACCACAAATCAAAGATTAAATTTGGAAATCAATAATTTTGGTAATTTAAACTTAAAATATTATTTAAGAACATTTTAGGGATTTTATAAATATTATCTCTCGTCTCTCTTCTTTCCTCTCTTCAGTGAATTTTATTCGGCGGACCTTATTCCGATAAACCTTATGTGGACACAAAATACACATTGTGATACCTACAAACGATATTTACTGTGATACCCAGGTATACATACAAGATGCACAATGTGATACAATTTGTAAAACAATGAAAATAACGGAAATGCACACTATGATACATTTCATAAAACAAAGAAAATACATTGTGAACGTTACCACTATCATACACTTTAATTCACAAACGTCTTTAAAATATGATGTAAATTAGGTAACTAATTTTAATTGTATATTTACTTCTAAAAAAATTAATTAAATATTTTGATTAGTTGCCAAAAATAGAATTACTATATTACTCTTTTAACTTATTTAGAAAACATTCTTAACTATTTCAAACGCATGGTTTACATTAGATCTCACAGTTACCACAAATTAATTAGTTTTTCCTTGAATGAACCCATATATATATATATATATATATATATATATATATAGAGAGAGAGAGAGAGAGAGAGAGAGGGGTTGGTTATTATATAAGCATTTACATTTGTACAACCAATACAACCTAATCTCATCCGTCCATTTAATTTGATGAATATGTGATTTCGTAAAAGTTTTGATTGTTTCATGATATAAAG